ATAGTGGATCGTCTCTCAGACGTGACTTTCTGGATAAAATGTAGTCAGCGAGGTAAGCCAAAGGTAGGGCATGCCAACAGGCTTGGTCATTATCACGGTCCAGGACATTTCAGTTGGGATGAAGTGAACAATGGAACAACTGACGCTGCTGAAGACGTATCACCTGAAAAAGCCACTGTCGAAGAAGAAACTCTACTCGGTTTTGAGAAGGGAAACAGTGAAGCCCTTGATGAAGCTACAACCACTGATGTGACTGTTACCGATGATAGGACATTTCCTGATGAAGCAGATGAACCCCACGTGAAGCAGAAGTGAACGAAACGGAGACCAGTACAGAAGAAGATACCTCCCGTAAAATTAAGAGACTTTGTTGAATTGTAATTTTGTGTTTGTAAATTCTTTACATTTAATTAAGTTATTATTAATTGTGTATTGGTTTAATGTAAGTGGCTATTGTTCGGGACCAACAATAATAAGGAAGGGGCAGTGTTACGACAGGGGGGTCGCGTGACGCTGGTAACACGTCATGCGCTTCTAGAACGTTCATGAAACCTCGAGAAGTTACTAGATATGCGGTATTCTTGTATATAAGCCGCCAAGAACTGATGGCAACAATGTGTAATTGAACTGCAGACAGAGATAGATACGGAAAGTTGAGTCGAGCATGTGAGACGTTCATTTTGTTACGACAGCAGGGGTCACGTGACGCTAGTAACACGTCATATTCTCGAAGGTTCGTGAATGCTCGTTTACTAGATTTCGGTATTCTTGTACATATAAGACGGTCAAGACGTGATGGCAACAATGTGTAAGTGACAGTTGAGTCGAGCACGTGAGACGTTCGTTGTGAATTATACCGTTTGTTATAGCGCGACTGTGGAAATTAAGTGTATTGCAAAGTTGTATTCAGAAAGAATAAACCAGTTTTATTTAAGAACGTACTTGTATCGCTAAAGTTTCTTCGGAAAGAATTTTTACGGGTAATTAACTAACGACCAGAGACGTAACAGTATTCATAACACTAGTGAAAATTTATTGTAATAACAGCATTTATGATACGACCCATATTAATATTTCCCACTTTTGTTCTACCATAAAAATAACAACAACAAGAAAAAAACTGCTTTTTCGGGTTAACCCGGTACCACGAAGTTTATACACTCCACTTAAATAATCAAGTATCGTAAGTTTTCACATGTGTAAAACAAAACCAAAACTTAAATACTGAAGTTACACGAAAGCTTATACATTCAATAAGATTATACGGCTCAGCCCTAATCTAATCGATTTATGTGGAATTGCTATTTTCCTGAGTTGTGACTGCTATTTCAGAGTAGAAAAAAAAATGAAGATTTCTAACAGAATTGTAAGTATTGTATATTTTTTATTATACCGTATCTTTTCAAAATTTTCTAGAATTCTGAAATTGAGCGCGTCGATCGTTGTTGTCATTTTTACCTTTCACCGCTTGGTTAGGAGAGATCTACCTTCGTTTTCACATGTGAGATGGAGAAGAGATCTGGTTCGAGGTTTAAAAACAAGACCATATGCATTCAACTCAGCTATATCAGCTATCCCGATGTACTTTGCGAGTCACGTCAGCCATTTTAGTTACGATTTGGGCGAGAACTATATATTCTTAGTTGTTTTATATTGTGTTTTTTGTTCTAGTTATGTAGAAAACGACCTTATAACAGAATAATGGCTGCACTTTCAAGTGGCCTTCATGATAGGTAATGAAATTCTCAAAATAAAATACTAGTTAGCATTTAATTACCGTGATCTTTCAAATTTCATTAAATGTACTAATGTGACGAACGACGGCGTCAGTATAGATTGCAATTACACTGCTTGAAGTTGTACTACTACTAGTATAGTAGTAATATATTCTGCCCAGCGGTGCTATATTTCTCCGAGTGCTATGTTAGGTGTAACGTAATAACATTTGATAACGTAGCTTAATCAATCTTGATTTTTAGGCCTAACATAAATTCAAGTCAAATTAACAATGCTATTATTACTAATTTCTTTTATTTTTAGTGAACGAAAGCTTGTTAATGTTACGAAGGTAGACAGTGAAAACCTTTCAAATTGAAATTCAAAGTTGTTCTTCTTTGAAGTTGAAGTTGAAATGTGTTGAATTTGAAAATCAAAATTACTAAATTAGTGAATTGTTAAGCCTATGTTACGATATTAATTATTATAAATGTATAACTATCAATATCATGCGAGTCTTGAACTTTGGCGCTTCATACCACTTTTACCAGTATACTATATACATAAGGTGATAACCACAGTATTAATATTATAACTAAAAGTATAAGTGATATATATGGGGTTTTTACCTGAATTTTTCAATTCATGAAAATGTTTGTTTATATTCTAATTACTCGTATACTTAAAAATAAAATTTGTTCATGTACTATACTAGTATATAATTCATTGTAAATTTAATTTGTCAGGTATTTCTGCATTGAAATACTTATATAAGTTTATTAATTTGAGTCAGCAGTTTTTATTTTTTTTGGCCAATGTTTTTAGTTTTAAACATTGCCCTTATCATTAGGTTAATAATTCTTGGTACATGTTGATTTTTTTTTCAGAGAATTAACTATATATATTATCAGCAAGGTAGGCATTAATACCTTAGACGTGACATTATAAACATAACATATAGACAAAACTCTCCCTGCATGCTTAACTTTGAAAAAAAGTAACGAATTATGTGGTGAAAAAATAATTTAATTTATTTATTCCTTTTTTATCTAGTACTTCTTTCTTTAAGATGCCTTTAAGTTTATGTAGATTGTATGTTAAAGTTTAACTTGTAGTCAGTGAAAAAATTCCTATATGGTTGATTTCACATAAAATTCCTCTCTCACCCAAAAAAATTGTAAGCATGTGAAATACACATTACAGAACGCCTGGCATGGCCAGATGGTTAGGGCACTCAATTTGAAATCTGAGGGTTGCAGGTTCGAATCCCCATCAGACCAAACATGCTCGCCCTTTCAGCCATGGGAGCATTATTATGTGATAGTCATTCCCACTTTTCGTTGATAAAAGAGAAGCCCAAGAGTTGGCGGTGGGTCGTGATGACTAGCTGCCTTCCCTCTCGTCTTACACTGCTAAATTAGGGATGGCTAGCACAGATAGCCATCATGTAGCTTTGTGCAAAATTCAAAACAAACACATTACAGGATACATAGTATATTAGCAATGAACCACTTTTGTCTGTGAGGTTTTAATTAATGCACAAACTATTCATAGCAGGCCTGTGAGTCCCTTAAAACAAGTAACAGAAATACCTAAGTACTTTCTTTGTATGTGAATTAATTATAAACTGGAATTAAATGTAGCACAACTAGAAAATAAATTAAGCTTTTTTTTGTAAATTTTCTCTGCATATCTATGTGCCTTATATAAAGGTTTAACAGAAAGCAAGAAAAATGGAAGTTTATATTTAATGCTTACTTTACTAATGTTAAGAAAATAATGTAAGTACTGTATAAATTGAGAAATTAATGATAAATAATATGATGGAAAAATGCTCATTGCCAGATGTACTTACAACATTACATAATATTACAGTGACGTATTAGCCTATTGTGTATGTGTGATAGCACATTTAGTAGAAAAGTCCGTTTCTATTATATATGTGTGTATATATATATATATATATATATATATGTGCGTGCGTGCGTATATATATTGGTATGAAAGTAAAGCTTTATTTACATAGTTGTACATACAAGGTACATTTTAAACGTGTTACTGGTATAGAAAAAAGTTAATCATTTGTAAATTCATAATTCTGTGTTTGATGTTCTTAAAATTGACATTATGGAAATTACAGAGCCTTACATGAGCTATAATTCATTAGTAATTTGATTTCTAATCATTTGTGCTCTCCGTATTTGACATGTGATTATTAAGTAAATACATTACATCATGTATGGCCTCGACCTTAACTTTTAAAGGTGGTAACAAATTGTTCCTAGCATATTTGAGACTAATACTAGCAACAACATTATTATTCTCTAAAGTTTAACTGTGTCATAATCATTTTGTTTAATCAGTATTATTAAATATGTATATATATATATCCGAGTTTTTAAATATCAAAACTAACATGTTTTTATTTCAACTATTTTTCAAAATTTAAAGTATGTTTGATTTGGTTAGAAAAATTGGTAAATCTAGGCCATAAGCATCAGAATAGAGAAAAACCTGCAGTACCCAACATTTGACGGCTGTCCTGCACTAAAAGAAATCTTTTATTATTCAAAGATATGGTGAAAATGTTAGAAGCTAATAGGCCACATTGTTGTTAGTCATCGACCAATTAAGAAAAATAAAATCTGCAGATAAGGTGATTTTATTTTTATTATTACTTCCATTAAACAACCACTTGGCCATAGTGTTTATAACAATGCTAATGACAAAACTTCATTGTAGAGGATGGATGGTGTGAGTCTAGCTTGCTGGCCCAAATGCTAATTGCAGTTGCAACCAATGAAATAAGTTGAAGCTGCAGTCTCCCTATCTCCCATTTCCTTATACTTTGCCTGCATACGTACAGTAGGTCTTGCAGCTCAAATAGGGATTGCAAAATTGGCATGGCATTTACAAGTGAAACAGTCTTGTTGATCACAAGTATAGTAGCCTTCTGTACTCGAGTCTTTTGGCATAAATGACTGTACTACATGTATCACAGATTTATTGATACTTGAAACTGAGATGTGTACTAGTAGTTTTTGTAGTTTTACTTCCAAAACTATAACAATGACCAGAAATGTACTATTTTGCTAGCATTTTGAGCTTTGCAGGTATGTGTGGAAACCTATATATATTGTGCTTGAACTCTTTAAATCTGTTGTTTAGAAAATGTCAACATATTGAAGTGAGACATCTGTATAATGTTATCTCTTTAAGTACCATGCCTAGGAGAACATTAGCAATCTTTACACAGATTCTTATCCAATGCTGTTTTCAGTACTAATATTTCACTTATGTTCATCCATTTACTGATGTAAGTCAGTTTCTGCCTACCTCTTCTTCCTTTCCCTTCAATATTTCCTGTTAACACTAGATTTTTAGCTTGTCTTTTCTCATTACATGACCCAATAACTGGAGTTATCTTTTTCTAATTGGGTTCCAGCTCTTTTCAGGACCTTTCTCGTTTGTCACTTGATCCATCCACAATATCCTGAAAAATTATTCTGTAAGAAATCACATCCCAATTGCTTGTAGTCTCATTTCCAAATTTAGAGAAATAGTCAACACTTACTGCAATCTGCAAGACTCAGACATACATAACAATGTAGCACTATTAGCTTGATTTCCATTGATATTTCCCTATCTTTCAGTATATTGCTCATCTTCTGAAACATATCCTTTGCCATTTGTTTCCTAACTTATGTATCAGATTTACCATCCTACATTATTAAACCTCTCAGATAGTTAAACTTTTCCACTTGTTTTGTGACGAGTACCGAAAACCCGAGATATTTGTCCTGATGTGCACAAAAGTATACAGCAATAATGTTTCAATTTTAAGTATTAGCCTGTTAGATGTTGTTTTTGTTTCATGTTATTGTACTTTTTATTGTCTTTTTCTGAAGGATTCTTGCTGTTCTGATGTAAGGAAGTTAAATTTAATTTTGCAATTATGATAGCAACACATATGTATTACATTATGCATTTCATAATGCATGTGTTTGTGTGCAAGGAAGTACTGTCACTAATATGGTTTTTATGGCTTCTAGCCAACTATAGTCCCTTTCACTTGCCAAAGATTATAGTTGTAGAGTGACCTTAATTTTAGGAAAACCAACATTCAAAAAATGAAGTAACAAATTTGAGAAACATTGGATGCTTTATATACATCTGGTTGAAACCATAAATTTATTGCTGTGGAGGTAAATATTAATAATTATAAAATATAAAACAAGAAGAAATATACCAGCTAAGTGGAAGGTAAGAGATTTATTCAAATTAACAAAAGGTTGAGAAAACTTATAAGTGGAAATGTTTCTTGGCTCAGAACATCAAATTTTACTTCATGAGCGTTTATACTTGCCTACGAAAGGAATGATTGTAATCCTTTAAGAGTTTCTAAAGGAAGCCTTATTGTGGAGAAAATGTTGAAGTGATTGACAGTTTTTTACTTGTGTTTAAGCTGATTGAGATGTAGGTATACTTAAGCTAATACATTTCCTTAAAGATATAAGGACTTTTTTTCTTACAATCAGTGTTGAACTAAATGAGCTTTCTATAATATTTAGTAAATATCTGGCACTGTCAAGAATTATTCAAAACATAGAAGAAGCTTAGTAAGGAAATAATAATGGTTTTATTATCTTTCATAAGTCTATTAGCTATAGAAAAATTCTTGATTAGGGAAGATTGCCAATAGGATTCTCATTTGGTAAAAAAAAAAAGGAAGGAACCTAGAGAGGACTGTAAGCCTATTATTTTGACTTCTGTGGTATTTTATAGATCATTTTGAAAAGTATTTGGTAAGTTGGCATTTGATCGACAATTACTGTTAGACTATTTTAACTAGGCTTTAAGTTTCTGTTGAGTAAATCATAGTTTATGTTGTATAACTTTGCTTTCAAAAAGCTTTCGATAAGGTACCACAAAGGAATGAACTGTAACTTGGTGCATCGGAAGGAGTTGGTGGAAAAGTTAAAAGGATAGAAAGTTGGCTTGTGACAATGAGAGAATGCACTAAATGGGGGCACTGGTAATTATGATTTTGGGGCATTATTTATGTCAATAATGACAAAATGAATAAAAAAGATTATTTTTTTATATTTAGAGGGTTTTTTGTAATATTTGTATATGAACTGAGAAAAAACTGGAAAAAGACCCTGCATATACACACACACACACACTTTTAAGATAAAGTAAAAGTGTAAACTCACCCTTTATTTTTCAGGAAATTATTGATTCTTTTAAACTTTAGTAAAGCTCCAACCTCCATTACTGTTTATAGCAAATAATTCCATAAGCCATTCATCTTGTTTGAAAAATAAAGTCTGTTTTACCTTTTGCAGATCTTAAACTTTTATTCTGGTATCCTTTCATTGTCTTCAGAATATAGCATAAAAAAGTAAATCCCACGAATAATATTCTTAATATCGATAATATTACTTCTTACCCTTCTGTTCTCAAGAGAAGAGAGATTTTAACTTATCACTGTGAGATAACCTTCTTTTCTCCAGGATCATCTAAGTAGCACTTCTTTGAACCCTTTCTGATAAGTCAGCAGAGGCGTTAAAACCATGGGTGCTGTAGAACCCCCTCTTTTACGTATTTGATTTATATAGCAATTGTATATTATATTATATTTTCAGGGGAGGGCATGCTCTCAGATCCTCCTAGATTGAGCTGCATTTAGCAGTTCCTGATATTTTCAATCTCATTGTAAAATCTATATGTCTGGCCAAGCACCCCCATCTTGTAAATCCTTCCAACATCACTCGTCAGTATATTTTCTTAGATATGGAGCCTAAAATTGTACACACCACTTCAACTAAGACATAACTTGTAATTTGTTTAAGAGGAATTGCCTCTTTTTGACATTTAATCAACTTTGAATAATACCTTAAAAGTTTCTTTAGCTTTTCTACTAGCAAGAGAGCACTGCTTTGATGGCTTATCCACCACTGTGCCGTGATCCTTTTCTTCAGTAGCACTATTGGTGTGTGATACAAATTGTGCTAACTTAAATGCATTGCCTTGCACTTATTATAGTTAAAAGGTGTTTTCCAAATTTTTCTCCAACTAATTGATTGGTCCAAGTTATTCTGTAATACCTCAGCATCTTTAGTACAGCTAGAAATACCTAAGAGCTTAGTGTTATCCTTAAATTTTACAAAACATAGCAGAAAAAACAAAAAACAGGTAATGCAAATGAAAGTGGGATTCTACACATCATGTGAATGTGTGAATAACTGTTTTTACCATGTTATGAATTTACAAGTAGTATAAATAACATTAACAAACAACTCCAGCACTGCCCCCATCAGGTATTTTACTAGTAACAAAGGTAAGTTTGAATGGACTCCATAACTTTTTGCTTTCTGACATACAACCACTAAATTACTAGTCTTTCTACAACTTGCAAACCTGTAGTGATGGGATTATTTGAGCTAATCCTTTGTGTGGCACATTTTCAAAACCTGTATGTGCAGTTGTGCACACAGATGTTGGTACTTGCTATGGCAATTATTGGTACTAGTATGTTTTAACATTATATGGGTCAGTCTCTCAATGTTAGCCAATGATAATTTTATATGATTCATGATATTTGATAAGTTAATCAAATATTTGTTTATAAATAAAAAATATGATATTTTCTTTTTTACTGAGTTGCAATGTCCTTGTTTGGAGATCTTTTCCTGTAACATTACAGTGTGTAGATAGAATGTTTTGAAATTTTTATTACTGTTTTATAGCCGTATTACAAAATGGATTTGTTAATTAGGAAGATCTGTGTAGAAATGTTGAAATATTGGATAATCAGGGAAAAATTGTTTTCGAAAGAATGTAGCCACTCAGTTCTACTCTAATTTTCAGAACAAATTAAATATTGTTTTATGTGTACACACAAAAATATCAAGTACCTGAGTCACATTGAGGAATAAAATAAGAAGATGGTTTGAGTTCAGAGAAAACTACAGTCTAGTCATTAGGGATATCATTGTAGAGTAGCTACATACATGCCTTTTATTGTCTCTATAACTGTAAATTAGTGCATGTAGTTGTGAAATGATCACAGTTTGTGAACTTAGGACCAGTGGCAAAAGGTGATCTGGCCAGAATACTTGGCACTCACCCATTTTCTATGAGATGGACAGATGTGTGTGGAGAAAGCCCAGTAAATAGTATATTTCAATTGTTTCGTTCTAACTTCAACAGGTGTAATATGTTTCATTATAGATTTCAACTTAATCAAAAATAATAATAATGAGCAATGAAACATGTTTTGAAAACACTTCGGTGTTCTGGAAAACATGAAACAATAAATTTTGTAATTGAAACATATCTTGGAAACTGTATAGTCCACTGTATCCTACTGGCTTCTGTCCTGGAGTTTGTTATGGTCTAATGAAAGTCTAACAATCAGACACTACGATTTTATTGGGTTTTTTTTGTTTTTACACTAGGCACACAACTACAGCGAAGCCAAATTCTTGGCCCTCTTATTACAACTCCTAATGGCTAACCATTTCACAGTTCCTGAATCTTCATTTTGCTATTAATATTACTCAACTCCTTCCCCTTGACAAATATGTTATGACCAATTTTGACAAAATGGTCAGCATTTACCCTTCTTAACTTCTTAGTAATAATACTCTAATTAATAACTTATTTTATCTAAAATTCACTCAAAGTCCATTTCGCAGCTTGCTAAAAGAATTCATATTTTCTATTCAACAAGTCCCTTTATGAACAAAGTGTTGCTATGGTTACTCCCAACTATGACCTACATTAGCTGTTCTGTTTCTTTGTCATTTGTATGATTCAGACAGATTTTGTACAGAAGGTATGTTTGATGACTTTTTTCTCCCTTACCCTATAGAAAGAAACTCCCTGAGTTTGGTACATTATATAAAGGACTTTATGCTTTCTCATTTACCCTATAGAATGAAACTCCCCATGTTTGGTACATTATATAAAGGACTTTGTGCTTTCTCATTTACCCTATAGAATGAAACTCCCCATGTTTAGTACATTATATAAAGGACTTTATGCTTTCTCCTTTACCCTATAAAATGAAACTCCCCATGTTTAGTACATTATATAAAGGACTTTGTGCTTTCTCCTTTACCATGTAGAAAGAAACTCCCCATGTTTAGTACATTATATAAAGGACTTTGTGCTTTCTCCTTTACCCTATAGAATGAAACTCCCCATGTTTAGTACATTATATAAAGGACTTTGTGCTTTCTCCTTTACCATGTAGAAAGAAACTCCCCGAGTTTGTTACATTATATAAAGGACTTTGTGGTTAGAGCACTCAACAAACAATCTGTGGGTCTCAGGATCAAAACCTGGTGCCATGCATGGCCATTCTTTCAGCCATGGGGTGTTATAATGTGACATGCATTCCTCCCCTGTTTGTTGGTAAACAGTAATACAAGGGTTGGTGGTGGTTGCTGCCAGAGTTGCCTTCACTGTGGTCGGATGTTTAAAGTTTGGAATGACAGCAGGTAGCTTTGCCATAAACAAACAAATAACTTACATAAACATAAAAAAAAAGCCTAGATTTTTTTTTGTATCATGTCTTTGCTAGAAACCAACCTGAGGGGAATATAAACCAATGTCAACCATTAGTTAACTTTAAGATGGCTTATAATCCCTCCATATCATTCTTAACCTTTGTATGCAACAAAGACCACCTCCCAACAACCCTCCTTTGTTCCTATTTTGTATAATTTAAGCACCTGTTGTGACTGTTTGTACGTCACACTGCACAGACAAAATGCAGTGCCTTCTTCAAGTATTAGCTCATAAGCATATGGGACTCTCAGTAAATATGGGTTAAAAAAATTATGTAGTCTGATTCTTTTCAGTATGCCAGCATAATAAAAAGTAGGACGTGATTAAGTGTATCAGATATCAGAATTCTAATTACTATTGATTCTAACATTAAACTTTTATTGAAAGAAACTTTCCAATTAACCATCTTTCTGTGCTTAACAAATCACATTCCTCATTCTAATTAAATCAGTTCCTATCTTATAAATGCATTTGTGATGCTCGTTTTTGAGCATTCTGAACCTATGTTTATACAAAATGTAAAAGTTGCGTGCTTAGTTCTAAAATAGTGAAGATGGAACCAAAACAGTTTTGAATTGGTTTTCAAATTTCTTATACTTTTATTGTTATTCTGTTGCTATTAATTAAGTTATGATTTCTTTCACAGACCTGTTGTTAAAATTGAGCCTTGTTTTGTTGACATGGACTTTTAATCCAATCCTGAAAGGCATGATAACAGCTAGTCGCTATAAGGACATCCTAGAGGACTAGGACAATATTTATTCTGCTGGTGATGGTATCTTTTAAGATAGAGGCATGTATCTACAGTACAAAAGTTGTCACAGGTTGTTTTGCCAAGATTCTGAAAACTTTCAGCCACCAACCCTAGTCTGCTTGATTGCTAGATATTTTCCCCAACTTTTATAAAACTTGACTTCATTATTGTTTACCTCAGAGAACATCCATGAAGAAAGTTATGTGGTTCTCATTGAGTAATGGTGCAGCTGTTACTGAAATATCAACTAAAGATAACAAATTGTTTACAATTGCAAACGCTTTTTTAAAGAAAACAAACCTTTTTAAGAGTATTATATTAGGTAAGGGACACTTGATTTATTTTGATCTACATTTATCTTTTACAAGACTTGAGAAAATATTGGAACATCATTACAGTTTTATGTTACTTAAGATAGATATATTACAAAACAGACATTGTAGGGAAACTGGAAAGGTAATTGTACTATGAAATAATTTTAATATGTTAGTGTGTTAAATAGATTCTCTTTCTTTCTCTTTCAGACTTGGAAGTGTGAGAAATGACATATCAGATCAAATGGAAAACTGTGTGTTTTCAGGTAAGTCTATACGTTTAACATTTTTTCATCTAATACTTGAAAGATATTGTAGCAACTACATGTATTTGTAATAGTTTAAGAAGATTCAATAGGCTCTATTTTTATACAAGCACAATCTACGGTATTTGTGATGCTGATGTAATCTACATCAGGCCTATTTGTACTTTTGTTTTAATATAGGATCTCTACTTCAACCAGAGGCAAAGTAGGGTTTTTGGGTAGCAGGGCAAGGAACAAGAAATTCTGATAATTGTTCCTTGATGGTGTTACATACAGTATTAGAAAGTCTGGAATCTGCTGTATCCAAATATGCATTCAAAGTGACAGGGTATTGGAGTAACTGTACCACATTACCAGCGACAGTCACACACACAAATTTATGTAGTGGCATCTCATTGTAGATGCTAGTTATAGTGTCACAGGTGACATGTTTAGTATTCATATGTTTGGTTATCTGCATATTCCTGACTGTTTGACAGTTTTCTTGCCACAGTAAACTTGTGGTTGGACAGATAGTTAAAAAAGATTTTAAAAGAAATATGTGCATGGTAAGATTGCTGAACAGTATAAATTGTTCCTTCACTGTTCTTCATTGAAGCATAAAAACTTGCATAGTAGTTAATAAACTAAATTTTAATATTCTATTAGTTTTAGATTTCTTTATTTCAAAAAGGAAATATTTAACTTCTCAACCTCCCTTTGAATCTGACTGGCTCATTTTCTATTATTTTCATCACCCCCTCTGTTGTCCTGAGTTTAATGTAAATTACTCTTTATAGTATACATATTACTAAGGTGTAGTCTAATTTTTGTAGCCTCCAATCTTCTCTGGTTACTGAGATATAAACCAGAATGTCACTACTTATCTTTAAAAATGGTCATTGTCTTCTCTGATGTATAATGCTACCTTGTTCTCAGTAGAGATGTTTTAGTTATTTCACCAATGTCTTGAATGTGGCTATTCTTTTCTGCACTTGTCACAACCATTTACAGAGTTACATTCAAAATTTAATTAAACTATAGTATTATCAATGTATGCAAATAAACTTGGCACCAAAAAAAAAAGTTAACTCAAATTTTAATATTATATAAGTTTTAAGTTCTTAATTTTATAAGGAAACATTTTAAGAAATTCTTCTATCTCCATTAATATAACAGTTGTGACATTTGATCTCTAGGTCTCACATCTTCACTAAGTTATTTAACCATCTCTCCAGTAGTATTGAATTTCATATAGATTAATCATTGTAATAGAGTTATTACTCAGGCAAAGCAAAATTCTGATAGCCTTTATTCTTATTTATTTACAGAACTATAAACTAGAAAATCTGATCTATTTGCCATGACCACCTGCACATTCTCTCTTTCACAAGTTACCAATAGTTCTCTCTGATGTTTAATACTATATTATTTATAACCCATAAAAAGCCAAAGTTTTAATCTGTAAATGACGTATTATGTTACATTATTTCTTGTACAGAGAATTGTTTATTTTGCTTCCAGTTCAAAAGTTATTTAATGGGAAACATATCGACAGGCTTATTTCTGGAGTGTATTCCATAGTTGAAAGATACAAAAATTATGATAGTTTTAGGAAATTGTCTGCTTTTTATGTGTTCTCAGGTGCATTATTTAATTAAATAAGTTATTTAGTGGAGTAGTTCCATTAGCATAAAAAAAAGTAGGCTTAACTTTAATTGACAGTTGACAGCCAAAGAAAGACCCAGGTAAGTACTATAAATCTTATTTTTCATGTGTATTCGTTATTTATTGTTATAAAAGTAACTAAAACATGGAAATTAGAAAATTATTAGATAAGGTAAGATAATGAAAGAATAATAATATTAAAAATTCTTCACGAGGTATGCTCACGAGCAGCTTGTGCATTACATAATTCAATACAATAATGTGAGTTGCATGTTTGCAGAGAAATTTACAACTTATGTGGTGGGATTATTAGTTATGCATTCAGATGTGAATAAAACAATAAAGTGAAGTATAAATAAATTTATACTATTACAAGCTTTAAACTATTTAGGATAAATAATTGCAGTTTCCTGTCACAATTTGCAGTCCTTCTAGAAAGAAAAAAGGGTAATTTAGATTTATTTCCTAATTTTTTATAGTGGTTATGAAGTGATTCAAATTGACTGATCTTGTATAGAGCTAGGGTAGAAAAAATAACAAATAAACTGTAAAATTTTTTCCGAGGAAAAACTTGATATTCGTTTAGGTAATTATACAAACGATTTTTACAATTTTTGGATGAAGAAAATATTTTTAATCTTAACATGAAAATCTCTGCACTCAATGCAGTCAACACTTTGAGTGAGTTTGACTCCATATATTTATGGATACATTTTAGTAGAAATACTCACTTAAAAGATCTGATTTTTTATGTACAAAAGGCTTGCAATGTTTACTGATAGTTTGTGATATTTTGTGAAGATACCCATATATTATCAAAAGTTATAGTATGTCTAACCTCATGGTTACTTTGGTGGTTACGAATAACAGATGACATATATAGTTTTACTGAATAAACGTTTGATATTCATTTAGAAGGTTTTTAGAGGTTATACAAATTAAATTTGAAACTGTAAGATGAAAAAAATGTTTATAACCTCAACATGAAAATCATCTTGCACTTAGACTAGTCAATACATATTCACATACATATCTTTAGTAAAAATAACTGATTAAAAAATCAATCTTTACTAAAAACTTTCCAGATTTCATAAAGATACACAACTGCATTAAAAGTTATTGTATGGACACTTTCATGATTACCTGATGGTTGCAGGTTTGGGTCAGAATGATGGAGCACATGTCGCAAGAGTTATTCCAGTGTAAATATTTTACATTGTATAGACATTTTGCTTTCATTACATGCATATATACTGATGTGTAGAAAAAATATCTGCATTCAATTTAATCAAAAACTTATAATAGATGAAAAATAATGTTGCACTGAAAAAAATTTAATATGTACTGTGAAAACTATTGTTTGCTTCATTTTTCAAGGGCATGTTTCTAGATAAAAACCTCTTACACTGCTAGGTTTACACAATAAGTTAAACGTATCTGAAACTTTGGGATAGGAGGTGAGGGTTATGTCTATGGTAATAAAAGACTCCAGTTAATATTTTAGCGAATTAATAACTGCATTGTTTACAAATTCTGGAAACGTATAAATAAAGTTATCAATTAACAGAGCTTAATTGTTTACTACTTTAGTTAATGCATGCTGTAATGTAAAGATATCTCTTATCAGTGATAATATAATAAACCACAAGTATTAAGCTGATATCTTGTACATTATTACTTCATCAAGTTAGTTTAGAATTATACATAAAAACCTTATAGTGTGTTTTATCATGAAACTTAGACTGGTAATTGAGTCTTCTTTAACTTGTTATTCTACCCATGGCTTGTTGAAATTATATGTAAAAGATGTACATTTCAAAAAATTGCTCTTAATTTGGTAGATTGCTACAGTTTTTTTTCTCCAGCTAAAACAGTGAATGCGTATAAATATACTTACATAATCTAGCTATTCCATTGTTCTTTGCCAGGAAGTCTGTGGACTTGGTACCCTAGAAATTGGGTTTTGATACCTGTGGTGGGCACAGCAAAGATAGCCTAGTGTATAGTTTTGTGCTTAAATACAAATGAACTATTGTTCTGAATAACATTCTTTATCTAATTATTGTTAATCTCTTATCAATTGTCTTCATAGGTCAAGACTAAAACTTAACCCAGTAATTAATATAGCTAATTTAATTTATTAATAAGTAAGATTATGCATGTCATAAAACAAAAAGCTGTAACGATTGAAATGCACTAGTTCGTTAGTCGGATATCCTTACTTTTAATGATATTTTTGACCCTATGAGATACAGGTTAGTACAAAGTAAACTTCATAATAAAAATTTGTAATAAAAATAAGTGTGTATCTATATATATAGCATTTTAACTATTACTGTTGATGAAACTAACATTACAAAATAGAATTTAATTAATGCAGAAAGATAAAGTGGAATAACATTGGAGTTGATTATGATGAACACTTTGATGGCTGATATTTTAGTAGAGCAGTTTTGTTAATTAAGTTAAATATCACTGACAGTTGCAAAATGGTATTAAATGTATATTGTTTGTTCCTTTTATTTTTTTTCTATTTTGGTCAGGTTATTGGCTTCTGCTCTCTCTCCTTAGCATCTTGGTTTGTTTGGGATCTTTTGGAGAGGGATGCCTTTCTGCTTTGGCCTTTAGAGATCTCAGAGAAGCTCCTTTTCTCAGACAGTCTATTTTTGTGGGCATTCCTGATTCTCTGGAATCTCAAGTGGATGTGGCCTTTCTACCCTAGCTTCTCAACTGTCCAAAAGATCTTCTTCAGGACGGTTTCCTGAATCTCCCATTTGAGTTTCCAGCCCTCCAGCTTCTGCAATACAATCCATTGGAACACAAGAGTGATTCCAACCTTACCAGTGGGTATCCTCCTCTAAAGAGGAGTATAGATTATGGTGTCGGTGACTACCTTAATGGGTCGGGTCTTGTGGTGGTCTCGATTCCAAGGGTTCGTGTCAGTATGGGAAACCTTCAGGAGAGGAATGGTCATTCCGTTCACATCTTCTCCTCCATTGTCTGTCATACTGGTTGAAACCTCTTACATAAAGCCATTGATATCAAGCCATCCAGGATCTTTGGCACCTGTAGGCATGGGAGTTCTGTTCAAAGCTTGTGTCATGCATTAAAATTTTGATGGAACAAAAAATAATAGCTGAGATATAGGCAATTACATCACATCATAACAGTTTAGGTTGAGAAATGGAAATTGAATAAAATTGATAAGACTACACTTGTATTGAATTTACAATGTTCATATTGTACAAAATTTAGATTTTCCTGTAGGAGGCTAAAAGGTCCATGTTATGTTCTGAAAAAGTCAGGATTTTACAAACACAAATGGTTTTATTCAGAATAAGATGAAATCAAGCCACAATCAAAAAAGTATACAATTACAAAGTTATTTTCTAATATTTTTTAATTCAATGGTACAGTTTTGCTTTTGAAACATGATGTAACCATCTAATCATGGTAAGAGTTGATGGTTATACAAACCCCAGCTTAGGTACCCAGTAAGGAAACTAAATTCAAGTTTAAATGTATGTATGCACAAGAAACAAAAACTGGTAATTCTTAAAAAAAAATGGAAGTTTTTTTTTAATGGATTTCTGCCCGGTGTTGTTTATTTTTGTTTTGAGATGATGTTTCAGATTCTATGCTTAGTCCTTCATGTCTATTGGTGTCAGAGGAAAAAAAAGTTGGAGAGAGAATTCCATAAAAAGAACTACAGTACTTCCAGGTGACTGCATTGAGAAAACCAACTCCTAAAGAAGAATCCATAAACATGTATTACTTTTACTATAATTTTGACATTTATAGTTGTATATATGTCCAAAAAGGCTATTGAAGTTATGAAATAATTGAAAAACAGAAACATAGTAAATGCGGTGTATAGAAAATTGATACATTACCTTTACCTGGAGATGTGTTTTTTCTATATCTGGTTCACTCCAGTTTCCATCCTTATTACCAGCAGCATTTAAAGAGAATTGGAACATGGAAGTAGGGCCTGACCTGTGTCATGTATTGTTTGATGGACTGCTTCTAGTATGTACCGATACGTTGTAGAAAGGTTAAGGTACAGTACTGATTGAGTGAAACTATACACATATGGCACATTTTACTTGTGGGGATGCACTCAAGCATGGGGAAATCCAACTTGTGGGAATAAAACCTAATACTTCTGCTTCTGTGGTTACTTCATTGTCATGCATATGTATGTATTGCACCAGTTTCAGAGGCACTGCAGGGTTACTGTGAAATGCTACATATGTGTAAATGCTGAATGTTTTGTGTGTGTGCTAATTTAAGAGATGAAATCCTTGATGACAGAATCTATATAGCATTGAGTCTCATACATGTACAGGAAAAAATAATTGGTATAATTTAGAGTGCAAATCACATTAATACTAAACTTTAACTACATTTTGTTCAGATTCTGTCATTTCTTCTTGAATGTGAATTTAAGTAAGATATTGTATCAGGTAGGTAAGTATGGCTTAAAGTGACTAAAATATGTTTATTTTTGAGAACTTAAAACGTTTTGATTTAAGCTTGTTACACATAATAAATTTTGTTGAAAGGTAGTTTGTAAGAATTACTCTTAATTGAATAACAAAATAATGTAAAAATATATTACTGTAAATGAGAGGTATTAAACAAAAAATAGAAAAATCAAGGTTAGAATAAACTATATGGCCTATTTTGGTCATGCCTAAACCCTCTTAAACAACCACTTAAAGCATCTGTTCCTTTAAATGAAAATGCCAGATCATCAAATATTTGAAGTAAATATAGCAAAATATATCGCATGTATGTGATGTCTGTAGGAACATCAAGGTTTAACAAGCAATTTCAAAACACTATTATATCATGTTGAGTTTAAAACTGCATGAATATCCCACATCTTATTACATCTCTCACTGCGAAATGTGTTATGTTATCATGAAGTAATACATAACTTTACCAGACTGCATGAGAAATTTGAATCTTAAAACTGTTTTGGTGAACATTTCATACAAAGCCTTATATATTTTACTTATGACACTTTTTTCACTTGTATATTAGTATTGTGACCAGTCCACACCCTCGTTGTGTATATATCTATGGTTTCTGATGGTAGAGATGAACTCGAGTTATTAGGGAGTTCTTTTTTTTTTTTTCCTTTCCAAGTACAAATATTTCCTTGGTTCTGTAAATGCTTCAAAAAATACACAGTGTTCTGCTAAGTACTAGTAGGATGTCCATCAGCCAAAAACAACCTATAATTTATTAATCTTTAGCTTGAAGTAGGAAACATTACATTAGTTTATAGAAATGTTTAATATACTTTAATTACTGAATTTCACAGGTGTCTGTGCAGTTTGTAAACGTAGTTTATATTGTACACTCGAATAATCACTAAACCGATTCTACATGTATCAAGGAACAGATATTAAAATCTATTTAAAAGTTATATAAAAGTTTAACAGTTATTTAGAAATGTAATCACAAGTCAGTATTAAAAACAAGCAAATATGTGTAATTATAAATGCTCAATGTAAAGAAAACAGTTAAACATGAAATTACCCACTTTTTAATGTAATGGGACAAAATATTTTATTGGTTTGTGATCCTATATCTCATTATAAATTTGAAATTTAGCTATGTTAAATATTTAATTTTCATTTAAGTTAAAAAATTTAATTATTTCTTTTTTGTGATATAATTAATGTTAACTTTATTTTCAGGAGATCATCTAGTTCAAAGGACTGTTATTGTACAGAAGGATGAAAAGGGTTATGGCTTGACAGTGTCAGGTCATAACCCAGTGTTTGTACAGTCAATAAAAGAAGGTAAGCATTGTGTTTAATACATGTACATAAAGTGTCTTATTAAGGTAACATTAAAATTAATAGGTCAGTGGAGCAGTATTGTATTACAGTCAGAAGGGCACATTATTGTGTCATTATAGGGAGTGAAGCATAAAAATGTTTGTTGAATTAAGGTAACATTAATCAAAAACACCTTAGGTGTGAGAATAAGATGAGGCCAAAAAAGAATTGAATGTGCAACTTAAAGGAATGAAATCAAATTGGCACCTCTCATTCCATACGTGTAGTTTTCTTAAGTTTTCCAACAGCTCATTTAAGAATAACAACTTTGGCTTACAACAGTTTGTTATGGTTTCTGTGCTCATAATTGTTTTACTTCTAAAGTATAATGTGTATCAACAATGAACTTGAATTATAAAACTTGCTTTATTTTCCAAACACACATGGGGGAAAAAAAATGTTGCATATAACATGATTTTAGTCAAAATCAGCATTATGAAGCTATCATCATAAAAAGTCATATAAAAGGACTGAGAAAATTTTATAGCCCCAAATTCCAAAAGCCACAAAGACATTTATAATTGACAAAAAATTTAGAGAACATGGTTTGCATTTTTCCATCGTTATGGTTTGAAGTTGCCTTCAGAAGTAGTTTTTACATATGTTGTTTGTATAGATGTAAAGAAACAATGAATGCCAAGGTGTTAGGACTAGAATTTTCTATCACCATAAACTGGTATTTGTTTAAGTTGTCATTTAGCTAATGAGACACTCTTTGCTATAGTAAATAGAATCAGTTGACAGATGTAGGATATTGACTTAGGTGAGTTCTATACAAGTAGGTAACACTGTGCTATCTTTTTTTTTTGTAATTGCTGGCAGCACCCAACACCAACATTACTACTTAATTGGGTACAGTCTATTAATGGGATCAATGATTGGTTAATTAGCAAAGAGTACTAATCACTCAGTGCTAGTATGCAGCAGGATTAGATATATTGAGTGTTGGAGGTTAATTAATCTTGAAATGGACTGTAACTGGGCACTCTATGACAATCATATGTACCTCACAATTTTTTGAAACTCATAAAGTCTTTTCAATATTTAGTTTTAACCTATGGACAGATTTTATTTGTGTGTGTGTGTGTGTGTGTGTGTTGAGTTGAGTGGAGTAGGGGAACGTTTGATTGAGTTGTTGGTATATGACGATCGATGATCTCAGTGCACCAATTTATTTCTGTGGTTAATTCTTTGATTATTTTGTTTGACTCATTAAGTAAAGCACTAGATTTGCTGCTTAGTTTGTTTATAAATAAAACATTAAAGTTAATAAATCTTAAAATCTGTGTACCATAATTTTATTATTATTAACTCAACTGAGTGCATCATTTTTGCAAGTGTAATTTATGAGAGTTCCTTACTACATGAAACTAACATTCTTATATTTCAGATGGAGCAGCTGCAAGAGTGGGTGTGCAGGAAGGAGACCGGATAATAAAAGTATGATGGTATCTTTTTAGTTTTTGATTTTTTTAACTTGTGCAAGATTAATTTGATGATGAAACCTACAAAACTAGTTTACTTAAAAGAAAAAGGTTCCTTGGTTCTTTGCTCTGCTGAAAAGGCTGTTTCTTTTTTGGTGAAACAAGGAGAATATTGGAGTATTGTATTAATGATTACAAGTTGGTAACTGTCAAAATTGTTTAGGTAAGCAACACTTGAGTTTGAAGATTATGCTGTTTAAAGCTGATTTTAAAATATACTGAACTTACACACACACACAATACTTTGCTGAGCTTATAATTTGATATAGAACTAAAGACAGACTGTTGTGCACTCAAATTAAAGCAAATGTGTGTTTGTTACTAGTTGTAAAATGTATACATAGTTAAGGTATCTTAATTATTGGTACATATGGGACGGGATAGGTGGTATGTATTATTTTGTAATCCTAAAAATGCAGGTGTTCTAACCTTGGGTTTCATGTCAATCAAACACAGTGAAGAATTTTACGCACTTCTCTCTTGTTAGTGATGTTTTTTGTTCTTCTCAAAAATGAAAAGTTGTTGGTATTTATCATCCTTTTTCTTTAGGCTTAAAAGATAACCACAGAACTATGGTAGAATAGTGTGACTTAGTTGTATATACCATGTAATTAAAGACACCCATTTATCATTCATAATA